AAAAATCTGATTTGAAAGTAGGTCTTCATACTAACTATATTAAAAAAACAAAATGTGCGAAAAGAATTCAAGTAAAAAACTTTGCATACATTGCGAAAAATTCTCTGTGCCAATACTTTGATCCGGCACTATAAATATTTATTAACTATAATTCCATTCAATAAAAGAACTACAATAATTTGAATTAATTAATTGCCTCTATTTTTAGCATTCAAAAACAGTAGATAAAGCAGTGTAAAAAGACGCTTTTTTAACGTAAATTAATCGTTTACGAGACTCGTTTACAAGCGTGCACTTTATTATACTAAAATTAAATGGGCTATAAAACTGCATACTTAAAATTTTTCTAAAAAATCTGATTTGAAAGTAGAACTTCATACTAACTATATTTTTATAAAAAACAATTAGAGAAGAAATCAGAATAAAAAACTTTGCATTCATGGCGAAAAATTCTCTGTGCCAATATTTTTTCCCGGCACTGTATATGTGAAGATATTTTCAGATAAATAAATATTAACAAACTATCTATTAACAAATTAACAATTAAATAAGAGGGGTTTAATATATATTATAAAGTTGCTGAATTTATTTTTTATCTTTTTTGCCGATAGGCTGCCAATTTGTTTTGCCGGTCGTGTGCATATTGGAAGTGCTTCTTTGATACGGAAATAAAAACTTCTTCGTGGGAGTTAAATTTTTAACGAAAGACACCTAAGAAAATAAAGTGAAAGATTAAACTCCATTGGAAACCGGAAAATTTAATTAAGTAAAAAGTGGTAATAAATAATATTAAGATCCGTACTTCTTATTGACGCAAACGTTGCCAACCAATAGCGCTGCTTTTGGTACCAGTTCCCTTCCACGAGAAAAGTTTTGCTACCTCATCTGTAATAATTTTTTTTAATGAATCATTTATTGTCGCTAGTACGGATAAGGCTTCGGATTTCGCACGCCTTTTTAATTGAGAAGCCATATTATCAATAAAACATTAAGTTCAATAACTGCAAAGACCTAATAAACTAGCAAATTAAAAAAAAAAATAACAATAAACTTACGAGATAGGGGAATTAAACGTTTAAATCCTTTAGAGTTACTCCGCGCAGCCTGTGAAAGAAATGCAAAACTCGTTAAATTAATTTGTATTTTTGAATTACATATGTAGTAGCTACTTACAAGAAGTTTAATTATAAAAGAAAGTAGTAGATCGTCCTTGGCGTTTGCACCAGTCTGCCAATAAATCACATACTTAATAATTTTCTTAAATTGAATATTTAACAAACTACTTATAAAATATTGTGATTGAAGAAAAATTGTCAACAAAACTAAAATTTTTTCTTGTGCTGACAAATTACTACAAGCCTCTTTCTATTAAATTTTTTTGTTTTATCGTTTACGAGCTTTTCTCTAACTATTTGGCGATACGAGAATCCCTCGTAAAACATGATGTTCGTAAAATGTACGTTTTCTTGCTGGCTGGGATGCAATAATTTTGTGTCAGCATGTTGTCTTCTCCGCAGCTCTATAGAATTTTTTAATAAAGTACGCCTTCGGTTGCCACAGTTACACACATAAACCTCCTGCTGCCTCTAACGCCTTCCCCAACTCCCATCATCTCCTCACTGCTTCTAAAGTGAACTTTGTCCTGCTCCACTTTTGATTATTTTATTTGCATTTATGCTTTTGTGTGGCGAAAACAAGATGTTTATGCAGTCAAATGCTTTTGAGCCAGCTCGCCCGGCCGACTGATTGTTTGTTTGTTTGTTAGCCACACATCCAATCATATACTACATACATACGGTACATATTTTAATCAAAAGATCACAAGTTCACTTAAAAAAAATTAAAATGTTGAAAATATCTTTCAGTTTGTGTAGATTCGTTTTAGCATTTTTAATGAAGTGCGGTAAAAGCTGTCAGCACTTCAGTTTATTTTCATTTCTAAAATTGCATATATGAACAAGTGTTGTTTTTGGTACCATTTCGAGTCCTTGGTAAACTTGACATTTCTGGAGAATGGAAATTAATTTTTAATAAACTTAATTTATAGCAAACACAGGTGTTGGATATGAATTTTGATAAACTGTCGTACTCGATAGAAAATTGGTATTTACTGGTGAAGAGGATATAGGAGAGCAGATTTTTTATAAAAGAAAATTTTAATTCAAAATTCAAAACATTTTAAATCACTCCATAACCACGTTTGATGTTACCTTTTGGGCAGGCCAGTCGAGATGGGGGTCAGGGGTTCAATTGTCTCGGGCAGAATTGGTTGCATCGATTTGACAATTCCGCATGCTCTAGTGTTAGCCCAGCGCTCGCGGATCTTACATGAGGCTCAATTGGGTAACTGCAAGTAGACAAAAACGCCCTTAGTTGCTCGATAACCGGTTATAACGTTTCAAGTGCACCTTTTCATGCCAGAACATTAGCCACGCCAATTTCCGCGAAGTCACTGTGGTACGGCCTATCCAAATTAGCTTTATGAAAAAATAGTTCGACGCGATTTCGACCGCACCATCATAGCGTTTCGGACCCTGATGGCCGCCTGACTATCAGAGCATATGCTAACATCTCTAATAGGACGTCACACTCTTTAGCAGTGAGTGTACCGCTTCTTTGATCGCATCTGTTTCCGCCTGAAAACGCTGCAGAATTGCGGAAGTCTGGATATAGTTTTAGTGGAGAGCTCCCGACAGAAGACACCTCCAGCAACCCTGCTTCCAAGTTTTGGTCCGTCCCTTCCCAGTTCCTTATTGAGCGAATGTAGGTAGAGATACTGGGACGCATTCCATGAATTCCACTTGCACCGAATAGGTGTGATTTCAGAGTCGGAAGGCCGGCTCTGCCTCGAAGATGATCAAACTTAAGAGCATGGCAAGATCCAATGGTCGAACCCTTTGTAATAGAGAAAGCGCTTACAAAGGCCCTTTTAGGATAGCGAAGCCGAAGGTATCTTGGCTCCACTGGGTTAAGGACTCTCTCTATAAGTGATACAAAAGATCTTAGAGGCCGCGATGTCTCCTGTTCTGTTACACCCTACAACTAATTAACTAACCAATGAATTGAAAGAAAAAGAAAATTTTCTAGAAGAAATCAAACTTGTAAATTTCTGCCAATATTAACAGTTTAATTGAAGATTTTCAGTTTTGAGAAATAAGTGTCCATTGATTTTGCAAAAATGCAGAACAGTAGCTGAACATATTGGTTCTTTAGATACGTTCCAAGAAAAAAGGCGGAAAAGAAAAAAAAAACAATTTCGACGAGTTACCACAAGAACTAATGGACTCAAATTCTGAGACTCAGTTCATATACATTCTGACTAGCAAAGTCTTCTCTTTCATCAGACGAAGACTCCATAAACATTATGGACCTAACTATGACTTCATGAAACCAGGAAATAGCCTTAGTAGAGCGGTCACACCTCTTATCTATTGCCGCCCTGCAGAAGTGGAGAGCCACTGATGCTTCTTCACTCCCTTTCCAATGTTAGAATTTCACGACAGCTTCTTAATAAAAAATACCAGTTCCACCTTATTATAATCTGCTCCGAATCCACTATTTGATTACCATTTAGTCATCAGATTCAATAACGGTTGGATCATATCGTAGAGGGTATCAAGAAATGCATCCTTGACTAAAGCTTTTCTAGAAGATACTTTACGACCAAGGAAGTTGTGAGAGAACAGCAGTCTCTGACATTTTCCTGTTTACTCTACGCCGAGTGGTTGCACTCCGCTGAGAGAGTTGTATAGCAAAGAAGCGCTGTATGGGTTTAACAAGGTCAATTTCGGACTTAAAATTACATTAAAAGCCCACTGGATATCGGGGTGAAGTACTTACATATAAAGTATTTTTACCTCGACTTTAAGATCATGTGGTCGGTAGTCTCGACCGACCTACACATGATGTAAGCAAGTAGAGCTCCTGGTGGGTGATCGTGGAGAATTAAGCTTCTAATTTGCTGATCAATCGGCATCTCCATATTGATAGGTTTGGAATCCTTGGGAAAGATTTGAGTGTTTTTTCCGGCTTCCGATATAAACGCCACCATTGCAGAATGTAACTAGCGAAGATTGAAGGCAGCCAATGCATTTACACTTCGAATGTCTTTTACAATTGAGCAGGTGTAATACTCTATTGCCTCGCTGACTTGAAGGGCTTAGAAATAAAGCGACGCTTATCCAGCAGCTCACTCTAGGCGCGTTTCATTTCCCAGTCCGTAATTTGAATGCATATCCTGGGACTGGGTTGTTTGGTAAATTGGGAACCGAAGAGAAACTTACCTGGTCCTATGAATTAACTTTTTATTCTATTTCTCGTACGCATGGCAAGCGCATCTGAATGTAGAACAGCAATTGGCACGTCATAACTCAATGAGAGCTTTCCACACTTTCAAAAAAGGCTCGCCAAGAATTCCTCTTAGTCTTTTTTACCTCGCTTTTATTAGCTCGGGATGTAACTATGTAATATTGATGCGCGATTTATATTCTCAAGTTACATACCTGATGACAGTAAGAATGGCAATTATAATAGGGAGGTTTTAGTTTTTTAAACTATAATTTTATTTCCATACAAAATAAATTCGACAATTTTTTTTTTGTATGGAAAAAACTGCGTCATGAAGTCAGAAACAAAATTATTAAAAATCAACGCGGTTCTTTAGCAACTTAAAACTAGAAAAATTAGAATTTAATGGGCTATTAAACTGCATACTCAAAAAATCTGAATAAAAAGTTGAAAATTTAGCTGAAACTTTGCAGATTTTTCATAATTTTTGCACGAAGTCTTTTATGGAAAAATAATAAACATTAAATAAACGAAAGAAAAATTGCCAAAATGTTGCTGGCTTAATTAGCTGATCACAAGTGTATAATAAGTGAAGGGATTTTTTGTCCAGGTCATCAGACCGTTCGATTTTCAAGAATGAGGTGTCAAATTAAAGGGCTTGGGCTGTAGATGTGCAATAAGGATTTACTTTTTCGAAAAGAGTTGCAATCTTTTAATTCAAATTATATAACAATGAAAGCCATCAGATCTGCACCGTTCGTTTGATTTTCAAAAATGAGGTGTCAAATTAAAAGGCTTTATTTCTGATATACTTAGGGGCTGCCACCTGTTTAAAAAATCGAAGTCAACTTAAACTGAGGCAATTAGCGAAATTTGGGTGTCAGACGAAATTGAAAGAAGAAGGGTTTAGTTTGAAAATATTTTGAAGAGGGTTGCCACCTATTTGAAATTTCGAATTTAGTTGACTTATGCAGAACCTATATCAAGTATAGATATTAAAATACATATATGCGTCAAACGAAAGACTGTTCAAAAATCTTTAGTTTTAACACTAGGAATATTTTTGAGCTGTTCGAAAAGAGTTGCCACCTGTTTAAAAAGTTATATTCACATTATTTTTTAAGTTGGTTAGAAGATGGATATGAATCGAAATGCGTTTGAAAAGACTTTATATCTGGTCTTCCACCTGTTTGAAAAATCAAATTCAATTTAATTCCTTAGTTAATTAAAATATACATCACACTTTTAAACGAAAGAAATTTAAGATTTTAGTTTGAAAATACTTTTTAAGCGGACCTGTTTTTACACAAGTTTTATGAAGTATTAAAATATGAGTGTCAAAAATAGATTCATGAAAGCTTTAGTTCGAAAATATCTTTGATTAGGCTTGCCACCTTTTCGAAAAGTCATATCGATTTAGCTAAGTTTATATATTATACGAGAACGTATTTTTGTGAATTGTATTTTGTGTGTGTTCTTTCGAATTTCAAATATTAAAGGTCAAATTACAAATTTTGGCCTGTAGGTGTGCGATGTAAGTACTTTTATTGGTTGAAATTGGAACTTTCTTGTCGGTATAGGGTGATTTGAAATTTGCTGAAATTAATAATGAACACTATGCGAGACCTGTCTTCACTCAGAAATGGCTGCACGGATTTAGTTAAAATAAGGCACTCGGATCGCTTATAAATCTGACTAACATTTCGAATAGTTTTTAAGACTTTGAATTTAAATTTTGGCGTTTTAACGCCATGCGGGTTCACTAGTATTGCTTTATAAAGCTACAGATCAGAGGAAAACTTGGTCACTTCATACATCTAGCTTTGCGGAGCGCGCAACATCCAAAAAGGAAAACGTAATTCTTAAATCTATTTTCAAGAGTCCTTTTCGTAGCGGTCTGATTTCAGAGAGTTACGCCGTTGACCATAAAGCATTCGCTCTGCGCTTGGAAAATATTTTGCGGCATGAGTAGGGGCGATCTCGATAAGTTCATCTACGAGCTCTAGGATAGTTCCTAGTTACATTTAGG